AAAAAAAAAAAAAGCTACAGAATATAGTGTTCATATGAAGTTGGAAAAATGAGGTATGAGAAAATCTTTTGCTAATGTAAGAATTCAAGAAGAGTACTGTATGTGAATATTTGAGTCTTCTAATAAATCAAGATTTTTATTTATATATTGAACCTTTTTTTTAACCAACTTGATATTGGTGATAATTTTTTTTTTCCTTTTCTGAAAGAAATGGCATCAGATGTACCATCATTGGGATCCACTATTGCCTCTGGAAACCCTGGGCCTGGGATTCAAGGTGGAGGAACCATTGTCCAGAGGGCTATTAAAAGGCGACAAGGGTGAGTTTGAATATAGTGTCTTGAATGCTCTTCTTATAAACTGTCTGATTTAGTTAGTTGCTCAGTCTCCATGACTACTTCTCTTTTTTTTTTTTTTTTTTTGGTCGGTCGTGGGGCTTGAACTCTGGGCCTGGGCGTTGTCCCTCAGCTCTTCAGCTCAAGGCAAGCACTCTACCACTTGAGTCTACAGCATCACTTCCGGTTTTCTGGTGGTTTATTGGAGATAGGAGTCTCATGGTCTCTCCTGCCCAGGCTGGTTTTGAACTGCGATCCTCAGATCTCAGCCTCCTGAGTAGCTAGGATTACAGGCGTGAGCCACCAGTGCCCGGCTCTTTTTTTCTTTTGCCAGTCATGGGGCTTAAATTTATGGCCTGGGCACTATCCCTGAGTTTCTTTTGCTCAAGGCTAGCACTCTACCACTTGAACTACAATGCCACATCCGGCTTTTTCTGTGATTTAATTGGAGATAAATCTCACAGACTTTCCTGCTCTGGCTGGCTTCAAACTGTGATCCTCAGATCTCAGCCTCCTGAGTAGCTAGGATTACAGGTGTAAGCCACTGACGCCCAGATAAGGTTTTCTTTTTTGTTGTTGTTTTTGTCTTGTCTTTCTTGTTGTTTTTTTCTTTCTTTCTTTTTTTTAATTTAAATTTTGTGCTGATCTGGGAGTTTGAACTCAGAGCCTGGGCACTGACCCAGAGCTTTTTTACTCAAGGCTAGACTCTACCACTTGAGCCACAACTCTACTTCTGTCTTTTTTTGGTGGTTAATTATAGATAAAAGTAGAATGAACCTTCCTGTCCAGGCTGACTTTGAACCATAATCCTTAGATTTGAGCCTCCTGAGAAGCGAGGATTATAGGTGTGAGCCAGCACCTGGATTTATCTTTCTTTTTATTTGAGACAGGGTCTCTTTGTGTGCCTAGGCTGGCCTGAAACCCACAGTCCTCCTGCTTCCACCTCCCAAGTGAGGCTTTATTTTAAAAAATTATGAAACTTGGGGCTGGGAATGTGGCTTAGTGGTAGAGTGCTGGTCTAGCATACATGAAGCCCTGGGTTCAATTCCTTAGTACCACATAAAAAATAAATAAAAGAAGTCAAATTAAAAGGGAAAAACTTTTTAAAAAAATTATGTAACTGTTGGGTGTGGTAGTGCATGCCTGTAATTTCAGCATTGTGGAGGCGAAAGGAGGAAGATAAGCCTTCTAGACCACCCTGGGCTATTTAGAAGACCCTATTGCAAAACAAGAAATATTTTTTTTTTTCTTTTGCCTGTCCTGGGGTTTGAACTCAGTGCCTGGGCACTGTCCCTGAGCTTCTTTTGCTCAAGGCTAGCACTCTACCACTTGAGCCACAGCACAACTTCTGGCTTTTTCTATTTGTGTGGTAATGAGGAATCAAACCCAGGACTTCATGCATGGTATGCAAGCACTCTACCACTAAGTCACCTTCCCAGCCCAAAATAATTTTTTTTTTTGTCGGTCGTGGGGCTTGAACTCTGGCTTGTGCGCTATCCCTCAGCTCTTCAGCTCAAGGCGAGTGCTCTACCACTTGAGCCACAACGCCACTTACTGTTTTCTAGTGGTTTATTGGAGATAAGAGTCTCACAGAGTTTCCCGCCCAGGCTGGCTTTGAATCGCCATCTTCAGATCTCAGCCTCCTGAGTAGCTAGGATTACAGGCGTGAGTCACCAGCGCCTGGCACAAAATAATTTCTTATATGACAGAGTGCTTTATACATTTTTAATTAGCTACTGAGATATAAAATGAATGAGTAACTTTCAAAGGTTCTAAAGTTAATTGTATGCAAATCTAGGCTGTGAATATTAAGCGTTTAGCATTAGAGTTCACTGTAAAACACGGTATGCTGGTAATTCATATTAGGAAAAAGTTGGAAGTAATATAAATTTCAGAAATTAGGGTTTGTTTAAGAAAGTTATATATTTTAAAATGGAACATTGTAAGGCTATTAGAATATATAATAAAAGAAGTTACAATGTATATATATTATATCAATACTTTTTAAAATATTTACAACATGAATATACCTTGATTAAACACATCCCAACTATATGTAAATTCCAGTGTCAGAAAAAATGTAAAAAATGTACATAACAGGGCCTGGGAAAGTGGTTCAGTGGTAGAGTGCTTGCCTTGCATCATGAGGCCCAGGTTAGATTCCGCAGCACCACAAGCAGAAAAAGCCAGAAGTGGCGCCTGTGGCTCAAATGATAGAGCGCTAGCCTTGAGCTGAAGAGCTGAGGGACAATGCCCAGGCCCAGAGTTCAGGCCCCATGATCGACAAAAAAAAAAAAAAAGAAAAAAGAAACAACAAAATGACCATCAAGTTTTGTGTGGCTGTGTGCTAGTACTGGGGCTTTAACTCAAGGCCTGTGTGCTGGCTCTTAGCTATTTAGCCACACCTCCATTTCTTGCATTTTGGTGGTTAATAGGAGATAAGAGTTTCATGGACTTTCCTGCCCATCTGGCTTTGAACCTTGATCTTCAGATCTCAGCTTTCTCATCAGTTAGGATTTCAGGTGTGAATCACTTTGCCCAGCATTACAATCAACCTTTCTAGTATATTTATTTTCTATAGTTTTAAACCATAATCTTTTTGAATAGTTAACAAATCTTTGCATCTTACTACATCAAATAGTCTTTTTTTGGTATTGTTTTATATTCTATGTAAGTTTTAAATATTTGCACAGAAGTATGAACGTAACTCCTTTTCAGAACACTTAAGTTGTTTTGAAGGTTTTGTTTTTATGTGTATTGCTACAGTGAACTTCTTTTTTTGGAGGGGGGTTGGTCATGGGGCTTGAATTCAGAGGGCTCTGTCCCTGTACTCTTCAGCTCAAGGTGAGCACTCTACCACTTGAGCCACAGAGCCACTTCTGGTTTTCTAGTGGTTTATTGGAGATAAGAGTCTATTTATTTGTTTATTTATTTAGTGCTTGTTCTGGGGCTTGAACTCAGGGCCTAGGTGCCATCCCTGAGCATTTTGCTCAAGGCTGGCATTCTACCACCTGAGCTATATCTCCACTTATGGCTTTTTGATGGCTAATTCGCGATCAGAGACTCATGGACTTTCCTACCCAGGCTGGCTTTGAACGGAGATCCTCAGATCTCAGCCTCCTGAGTAGCTAGGATCATAGGCGTGAGCCACCAGCGCCAGGCTCATATTATTTCTTTAGGACTCTTATTAATAGAATTATAAGGTGGATTAGAATTTTGATAAATGATCAAGGACATCCTGAAAGAGGAAGAGGAACAAATATTTTTAGGATTGATATCACATACTTCATCGGTAACCCATGTAGAGACTTATCCTACCAAATTATCCCACTGGTAGAGATGCTAAAAGTGATTACTGGATTAAGGTGAGTACAGATGTAATAGGAGATTGGCCTCCTCTGTTACCTGTAATCTTTACTAATCCCCTGAAATGAAAGTTATCTCTCCTTTCATTGAACATGCATAGCATATTATGTCCCTCACATGACATTTTCCCATTCTCATCTGTATTTTCTCTGTATTTGTCTTAAGCAGAAACCACATTGAGAGCAAAGATTTTTTCCCCCCTCATCTAAAATGGCATCTTGAGTGTACTAATGGTTGTGTGTTTAAACTAACAAGCTTCTAGGCCATTCTCATGTCATGTTAACTGCTTTAAAAGATTTCAAACTTGGGGCTGGGAAGGTGGCTCAGTGGTAGAGTGCTTGCCTTGCATGCCTGAGGCCCTGGGTTTGATTCCTCAGCACCACATAAGCAAAAAGAAAAAAGCCGGAAGTGGCGCTGTGGCTCAAGTGGTAGAGTGCTAGCCTTGAGCTGAAGAGCTGAGGGACAGCACCCAGGCCCAGAGTTCAGGCCCCACAACCGGCAAAAACAAAACAAAACAAATAAATTTCAGTTTCTTAGTATCCTGCATTTTCAGTAGGCTTACAGTTATTTATTGGTTTTCCCCAGGCTGGATTTTGATGATGATGGAGAAGGGAACAGTAAATTTTTGAGGTAAGAGTTTGAAAATTTTTCAGACTTTTAATATTGAAAATTAGCTATTGATCTTTGTAGTTCTGACTTGTAATATTTTTGTTTTTAGGCCTAAGAAGAGTACTTCATCCTAAACCTGTATATTTTCATATTATATCCCAGTTTTCAGGCATTCTATGAATGATTTCATAGATAAGATCTCAGTGAAGAGAGGACAGAGAGTTTATAAGATTCTCTGGATATCAATAATGTGTTGATGCATGGTTTAAGAAGAACACTAGTTTATTATTTCTCACAGTTCTGTGGATTGATTGCATGGTTATTCTGCTGATCTTGCCCAGACTTGTTCATAAGGCAGATTTGGTCAGTTAGGTTCAATTCAGCTATAATGGTTGTGTTTGTAGTCTTGTCCTTAAGAAGGCAAGTCTGCCGGGCTCTGGTGGCTCACGCCTGTAATCCTAGCTACTCAGGAGGCTGAGATCTGAGGATCTTTCAAAGCCAGCCCGGGCAGGAGAGACCGTGAGACTCCTATCTCCAATAAACCACCAGAAAACCGGAAGTGGCTCTGTAGCTCAAGCGGTAGAGCGCTCGCCTTGAGCTGAAGAGCTGAGGGACAGCACCCAGGCCCAGAGTTCAAGCCCCACAACCGACCAAAAAAAAAAAAAGAAGGCAAGTCTGCCGGGTGGTGGTGGCTCACACCTGTAATCCTAGCTACTCAAGAGGCTGAGATCTGAGGATCACAGTTCAAAGCCAGTCTGGGCAGCAAAGTCCATGAGACTATTATCTCTAATTAACCACCAGAAAACTGGAAGTGGCGCTGTGGCTGAAGTGGAAGAGTGCTTGCTTTGAGCTGAAGAGCTTGGGGACAGCGCCTAGGCCCAGAGTTGAAGCACCATGACCAGCAGGAAAAAAAAAAAAAAAGAATCTTCTGGAGCATTAAAACTGGATTTTAAAATACATTTTTAAAGGGTTCTTCCAGGGCTGGGAAGGTAGCTCAGTGGTAGAGTGCTTGCCTTGCATGCTAGAGGTCCTGGGTTTGATTCTTCAGCACCACATAAGCAGAAATATCCGGAAGTGGCACTATGGCTCAAATGGTAGAGTGCTAGTCTTGAGCTGAAGAGCTGAGGGACAGTGCCCAGGCCCAGAGTTCAGGCCCCACAACTGACAATAAAATAAAAATAAATAAATAAAATAAAATAAAGGGTTCTTCCAGAAAGTTGGGATATTCTTACTGAATACCCAATGTTTTGCTCGTTTTTATGTGAAAAAGAAATAAAACTCAAAGAAAGGAAATAACTTTGACTGCAGTCTTCCTTCATTTTTCTTTCTGAATTTGAAAATATTACCCATGTAGTTTGAATATTGCTAAATAGATGCTTGATAAGTAAATAAAGGAGCCCTTTTAAAAAATATTATTTGGAATGGGGTGCCGGTGGCTCAAGCCTGGTAATCCTAGCTACTCAGGACGCTGAGATCTGAGGATCGCAGTTCCAGGCCAGCCCCTGCAGGAAAGTCCATGAGAATTATCTCCAATAAACCACTGGAAAACCAGAAGTGGTGCTGTGGCTCAAGCGGTAGAGCACTCGCCTTAAGCTGAAGAGCGCAGGGACAGCACCCAAGCCCAGAGTTCAAGCCCCATGACTGACAAAAAAAAAAAAATTGGTTATATGGCTACCGAAGTTTCATTTAATAATTTTATTTATTTATTTATTTATTTTTGGTTGGATGTGGGGCTTGAACTCTGGTCCTGGGTGCTATCTCTCAGCTCAAAGTTAGCACTCTACTACTTGGGCCACTGTGCCACTTCTGGTTTTCTGGTGGTTTATTGGAGAAAAGAGTTATGGACTTGCCTGCCCAGATTGACTTTGAACCATAATCCTCAGACCTCAGCTTCATGAACCATAATCCTCAGACCTCAGCTTCCTCCTGAGTAGCTAGGATTACAGGTGTGAACCACTGGTGCCTGGCTTCATTGCTTTATTAATTAAAATTTTATTTAAGTTTTGAGTAGTACTGGAGTCTCATGCTTTTATAGGATAATGATAAATGACAAGAGAAACAGACTGCTACTTAATGAGGGTCAGTATAGAGACAGCTTTAGATTGAGGATCAGAGAAGCCCTGGGGAGCACACATTCCATCTGAGACTGTAATGTTGTTAAGTAGCCGGAATGGGATGACTGGTTTGGGTAGAATAGACAGGTAGAAATTCTGCCACATGGTATAAATATAGGAACTTTGAGGATTTTATACTAAGTAAGATAAGTCAGTCACAAAAAGGCAGATATTGCTGGGCACTTGTAGCTCATGCTTAGCTACTCAGGAGATTGAGATTTGAGGCCAGCCCTGGCAGGGAAGTCCATGAGAATCTTATCTCTTAATTAATGAGAAAGTTGGAAGTGGGGCTCTGGTTCAAAGTGGTAGAGCACTAGCCTTGAGCAAATAAACTCAGGGATAGTGCCCAGGTCCTGAGTTCAAGACTCAGGACTAGAAAAAAAAGAGATAAGTATTACATGGTAAGTTTATATGAGGCATTATGTGAATAATTAAATTCATAGCCACAGAAAGTAGAATGGTGGTTGGCAGGGGTCAAAGGTAGGGGAAAGTGATGTCCAATGAATATAGTTTGCAGGATGGAATGTGGTTAGATTATCTTTCTACCACAATGTGAATTCACTATTAAACTGGGTAGAGTGCCTATCTAGCAAGACAAGACTGAGTTCAAACCCTAGTATTTTTTTTTAAATGTCATTTTGTGTTTGTATGTGCATGCATGTGTGCTGGTACTAGGGGTTGAACTCAGGCCTCATGATCTCACTTGGCTTTTTCATTCAAGCCACACTTCCAAGTCCAGCTTTTGGCTGGTTAATAAGAAATAGATGTTTCACAGACTACTTACTGTCCAGGCTGGCTTTGAATGGGGATCCTCAGATCTCAGCCTTATCAATAGCTAGAATTACAGGTATGAGTCACCAGTGCCAGGTAGTATTTTTTTGTGTGTGTCTGTGTCTGTCGTGGTGCCTGAACTCTGGGCCTGGGCATTCTCCCTCAGCTCTTCAGCCTTAAGCTCAAGAGCGCCACTTCCAGCTTTTTCTGCTTATGTGGTGCTGAGGAATCAAACCAAGGGCATCATGCATTCAAGGCAAACACTCTACCACTGAGCCACCTTCCCAGCCCAGGTAGTATTTTTTTTAAATTGCAGTTTTTAAAAAGGAAAATAAATATATTCTTTCTTCCTTTCCTTTTCCTTTCTTCCTTTCTCTCTTCTCTTCTCTCTCTTCTTTTCCCTTCCTCCCTCTTCCCTTCCTTCCATACTTCCTTCTTTCCTTCTTTCTTCTTTTGCTGGTCCTGAGGCTTGAACTCAGGGCCTGGATACTGTCCCCGAGCTTCTTTAGTTCAAGTCTAGGGCTCTACCACTTGAACCACATTGCCACTGCTGGCTTTCTTTTTTTTTTTTTTTTCCTGAATAGTTTATTGGAAATTAGAGTCACATGGACTTTTCAGCCTGGGCTGGCTTCAAAGTATGATCCTCAGATCTCAGCCTGTGAGTAGCTAGGATTACAGGTGTAAGCCAGGGCTTATATCCCAAATTTATTTTTTTTTTGGTCGGTCGTGGGGCTTGAACTCTGGGCCTGGGCGCTGTCCCTCAACTCTTCAGCTCAAGGCTAGCACTCTACCACTTGAGCCACAGTGCCACTTCCAGTTTTCTGGTCGTTAATTGGAGATAAAAGTGTCATGGACTTTCCTGTTTGGGCTGGCTTTGAACCGAGATCCTCAGATCTCAGTCTCCTGAGTAGCTAGCCACCAGTGTCCGGCTATATCCCTAATTTTATAGTGTTACTAGCAGGGTAGTTAGCTCTGTCCTCATGTTTGTTTGTTTGTTTTTTTTTATGTCTGATAAGGTAATAAAGAAATCAGAAACCTGACAAATATTAGTCAAGAGATTGTTTAAGTTCTGTGTGATGCTGTGCTGTTACTGTTTTTTATTGCTTTATTATGCTTTTCTATGAGCTCTTTTCTTTTTGAATATTTTTACTCATTTTTAGTTTTTACATCAGGGTGTAATAGGTAGAACAAATGTGATGCTTTGAATTAAATCAGTCATTTTTTTTCTTCTTCAGGTGTGATGATGATCAGATGTGTAATGATAAGGAGCGGTTTGCCAGGTAATACAGAAGAGCATTTTAGTCCTTGTTAGAGGACCAGACAGTATAATCATACTAAATTTTAATTTTATCTAAGTTAGAGTGGAATTTATCTAGTCTTTTTCCTCTTCTGAAAGGTGATTAAATAGTATTATAGCTCTCATATGTGTTTGTGACATTACTTTAAATTATTGTTCCTTTTTGTTGTTATTGTTGTTACTCTTGGTTGAACTCTGCGTGGGCACTGTCCCTGAGCTCTTCAGCTCAAGTCTAGTGCTCTACCACTTGAGCCACAGTGCCACTTCTGGTTTTGTGGTGGTTAATTGGAGATAAGAGTATCATGGGTTTTCCTGCCCAGATTGGCTTTGAACTGTGATCCTCCTGAGTAGCTAAGATTACAGGTGTGAGCCACCTGTGCCTGGCTACTTCTGGCTCTGTATGTGGTACTCAGGAATTGAACCTAGGGCTTCGTGCATGCTAAGAAAGCCTACTAACACTAAGCCACATTCCCAGCTTTTATAGTGGTCTTCTATGTATGTTACACCTATAGGAGTGTGTTTACTAGGTATCTTTGGAAACATAGATTGTGGATTTCTTGATTGTATTTGCTATCAAATTGGTACAGATATTGGAGGAATCTTTATTTTTTTAATTTTATTTCATTTTATTTTATTTATGAACATACTGTACAGAGGGGTTATAATTACATGGGCAGGATAATGCATACATTTCTTACCAAGCATTGCAGCCTCCTCCTTTGTTTACCCTTCACCTCCCTTCCCAGCCTCCCTCCTCCCCCCTGGAGGAATCTTTATAGCAAATGATTTTATTCACTAAGATATGACAAAGTCATGGAAACTGGAGTTTTGAGTAAAGTAAATATAATTTTTTAAAAATTACTGTCAAGGAGCTGGGAAGGTGGCTCAGTGGTAGAGCCTTGCATGCCAGAGGCCCTGGGTTCGATTCCTCAGCACCACATAAGCAAAAAGAAAAAAGCCGGAGGTGGTGCTGTGGCTCAAGTGGTAGAGTGCTAGCCTAGAGCTGAAGAGCTGAGGGACAGCGCCCAGGCCCAGAGTTCAGGTCCCAGGACCGGACCCAAAAAAACAAACAAAAAATTACTGTCAAGATGATGAAATATACTTATTTACTTATCCTCCCCCCACTTTGTTTTTTCTGGTACTGGGGCTTGAATTCAGGGCCTGGGTGCTGTCCCTTTTCTCTTTTGTTTAAGGTTGGCACTCTACCTCTTGAGCCATACCTCCACTAGTGATTATTTGGTGGTTAATTGGAGATAAGAGGGTCATAGAATTTGTTGCCTGCCTCTTTGAACCACAGTTCTCAGATCTCAGCTCCTGAGTAGCTAGTATTACAGGTGTGGGCCATTGGTGCTCAGCCAGTAATTTATTTATTTTTTTACAAATTAAGTTTGTGGATTTGTGGGCATGGTACTAGTGAGAGAGTGTCTGCCTAGCCAAGTATAAGGTCCTAAATTCAAATCATTGTACTGCCAGAAAAAAAATTTATAACAACCTCAGAAAATAATCTTACTTAAAAACATAATACTTTTTTAATTTTTATGCTGATATTGGCATTTGGGCTTTGAACTCTCTCCTGTCTTTTTCACTTATGGCTGGCATTCTATCACTTGAACCAGGCCTCCAGTTGGCATTTTAGCTAGTTGAAGATAGAATCTCATACATTTTGGCTGACTTTGAGCATCAGTTTTCTAGGTGTCAACCTTGTTTTTTTTTTTCTTTTTTTAGTCATGGGGCTTGAACTCTAGGCTTAGGCACTGTCCTTGTGCTCTTCAGCTCAAGGCAAGCACTCTACCGCTTGAGCCACAGCGCCACTTCCGGTTTTCTAGTGGCTTATTGGAGATAAGAGTCTCATAGACTTTCCTGCTGGGGTTGGCTTTGAACCTCGATCCTTGGATCTCAGCCTCCTGAGTAGCTAGGATTATAGGCGTGAGCCACTGGTGCCCGGCTTACTTTAGACATTTTATTTGAGACTTATCTACCAATCTAAAATATGATTGAGTACTGATATACTGACTCTCTAACACCTTATTTTTATTTTTATTTTTTTTGTGTCAACCTTGGAGTATGGGGGCTTGAGACATTGCTACAGCCCAGTATACTGTAATACTTTATTCATTGCTGGTGCTTGGCATTTTGAGAACCATTGATTATTATTATTATTTTTTTTGGGTCCGGTCGTGGGGCCTGAACTCTGGGCCTGGGTGCTGTCCCTCAGCTCTTCAGCTCAAGGCTAGCGCTCTACCACTTGAGCCACAGCACCACTTCCGGCTTTTTTCTTTTTGCTTATGTGGTGCTGAGGAATCGAACCCAGGGCCTCATGCATGCAAGGCAAGCGCTCTACCACTGAGCCATCTTCCCAGCCCCTTGAGAACCATTGATCTACAAAACCAAGAAATACTGGGTAGAGTAGCTTTAAATACTGAAACAGTAAGATGCCACCACAGGCTTTGAATTAGAGTATGTTATAGATATTAAATGTTTGATACTGATATTTCCATGATGGCAATTTATAGGATTGATGACGGAGAGGTCTTTAGTCAGGGAGGTAGAAAAAAGCTGTTGAAATAGTAAGAGAGCTATGAAATCGAGTGTATGGGCTAGAGTGGTGGATATAAAACAAAAGGAGGAATAAAAGAAGTTTGTCAGGGCTAGGAATGTGGCTTATTGGCTTACCTAGCATGCATGAAGCCCTGGATTTGATTCCTCAGTACCACATAAACAGAAAAAGCTGGAAGTGGCACTGTGGCTCAAGTGGTAGTGTTAGCCTTGAGCAAAAGGTGCTCAGGGACAGTGCCCAAGCCCTGAGTTTAAGCCCTAGGCCTGCCCCTCCCCCCAAAAAAAAGAGGTCTACCAAAATTATTTGTTTAAACAACTTAAGGTAGGTAATTATAAAGTCTTAAGATGTGAACAATCTCTAAAATGAGTTGACCATAGAAATTTGGGAGATAGTTTTTCAAACTGTATTAAAAAGTTAAGGCATTAGCCAGGGTGCCAGTGCCTATAAACCTAGCTACTCAGGAGGCTGAGATGTGTGATTTCAAAGCTAGTCTTTGCAGGAAATTCTGTGAGACTCTTATCTCCAGTTAACCACCAGAAACCTGGAAGTAGAGCTGTAGCTCAAGTGGTAGTATTCCTAGCCTTGAGCAAAAAAGCTGAGGGATAGTATTCAGGCCCCAAGTTCGGCCCCAGGACCAGTATCAATTAGAATGGGTGGTATGGGTCCACTGTATCTTGACTGAAATTCCAAAACACTGTGAAAATGTGACATTAGCTATTTTAGTTTTCATTTGTCCTGCTTAATGTGCATATTTATACATTGTACATCTTATTTAGAAATGTTGGAGTAAGCCAGGTGATAGTGGCTCACTCCTATAATCCTAGCTACTCAGCAGGCTGAGATCTAAGGATTGCGGTTCAGAGCAGGCCTGGGCAGGAAAGTCTGTGAGACTAAAAACCAGAATTTGCGCTGTGGCTCAAGTGGTAGAGCTCTTGCCTTGAGCTGAAGAGCTGAGGGACAGTGCCCAGGCGCAGAGTTCAAGCCCCACCACCGACAAAAAAAAAATGTTGGAGTATAGAAGGTGTTGTGGACTTGTAGTAAAATGAACTTTTTTGAGCACTGTGTGTATGTGTGTGTCTTTGTTTAATTTGTAACAAAGCCTTACAGACAGGTGCAAACAATAAATCCTCTTTTGCAACCTAGAACTCAGATACGAGATTTTGGTACATGGAATAAGAAATATGATTCCTACAGCAGTTGGTTTGTTAACTCTCACTTGTTGCTTTGAGAATAAAGTTGATGGAAAAGCAAAAATTTAAAAGTCAATACCAAAAAAAATTTTTTTAAGGAATTTTATATATTTAATTTTCTTTCAAACATGGAGTTCAGTCCTTTATGACTTAGTAACATAGTTCACCTCACATACTTTTGAGAGTTTAATAGACGGCCATCAAAAGCTAAAAATGTATGAATTTTCTCAAATTAAAAAACTTTTGTAGCTGGGCGCTGGTGGCTCACGCCTGTAATCTTAGCTACTCAGGAGGCTGAGATCTGAGGATCGCGGTTCAAAGCCAGCCCGGGCAGGAGAGACCTTGAGACTCCTATCTCCAATAAACCACCAGAAAACCGGAAGTGGCACCGTGGCTCAAGTGGTAGAGCGTTAGCCTTGAGCTGAAGAGCTGAGGGACAGTGCCCAGGCCCAGAGTTCAAGCCCCACGACCGACAAAAAAACAAAACAAAACAAAAAAAACTTTTGTAGTGAGCAACAGCTAGCCTCAAACTCATGATCCTTCTGTCTTAGTCTCCCAAGTACTGGTATTGAAGATGTGGATCACTTTGCCCACTTTTGTCATTGTCATTTTTTTTTTTTTGGGTCCGGTCGTGGGGCCTGAACTCTGGGCATGGGCGCTGTCCCTCAGCTCTTCAGCTCAAGGCTAGCGCTCTACCACTTGAGCCACAGCGCCACTTCCGGCTTTTTTCTTTTTGCTTATGTGGTGCTGAGGAATCGAACCCAGGGCCTCAAGCATGCAAGGCAAGCGCTCTACCACTGAGCCACCTTCCCAGCCCCATGTCATTGTCATTTTTGATAATTAAACTCTCCATACTGTAATATGTTATATTTACTTAGACATTTTATTTGAGTACTGATATACTGACTCTCTAACACCTTTTTTTTTTTTTGGTCAGTCATGGTGCTTGAACTCTGGGCTGGGCGCTGTCCCTCAGCTCTTCATCTTAAGGCTAGCACTCTACCACTTGATCCACAGTGCCACTTCTGGTTTTCTGAGTGGTTTATGGGAGAGAAGAGTCTCAAGGCCTTTCCTGCCCGGGCTGGCTTTGAACCATGATCCTCAGATCTCAGCCTCCTGAGTAGCTAGGATTACAAGCGTGAGCCACTGGTGCCTGGCCACTATATTGTTTTTAAATTGACACATTCACTCTTTACAGTATCTCAGTTTCTTTAAAAAAAATGTAATGATGATTATCTTCCTCTGGAGGAGGAAGAGTTGATTTACCTGTGCCTTGGTTATACTCTGGAATCAAAATTAATCATTTAAACTTAGCTCTTAGGTTCTTTTGTCAGAATTGGGGCTTCAACTCAGGGCCTGTGTGATGACCCTGAGCTTCTTTTGCTCAAGGTTAACACTCTTACCACTTGAGCCAGACCACTACTTCTTGCTTTTTCTGAGTCATGTTTTGGAGAAAAGAGTCTCATAGACTTTCCTGCCCAGGCTGGCTTGAAACTGTCATCTTCACATCTCATACAATCTCTTTGAGTATCTAGGATTACAGGTGTGAGCCACTTGTACCTGGCAGCTCTTAGTTTTACTTACTATAATTCCTCTACTAAAAGCTGGTCTGTTAATTTGTGTGTGCGTGTGTGGATTATAATTATGATCATTTAACACTACTTTTACTCTTTAAATTTTTTAAATTATACGATAGTACATGTGCATATTATTTTCTTTCCAGATTGAGAGCAGTATCTAAGAATGGTAGTTTTTAATTCCTTTGATGTTTCTTGTTCAAACTTTATATGCTTGGTCCCTACAGAGATTGATTGACAAAATGCTTTGTATTGAGATCCCATTAATTTATAATTGGCCTTGCTTTTATCTTGACCTTTGTCTTGTAAATTAATTTTCTTTATCCTAACAGATAGCTTTATAAATTACAGGCAAGATCCCAACCTATATTTCTATTTTTCTTGCTACTCTCTGCATTTCATTTTTTTCTTTTCTCCCCTATCTCTTCTCCCCTTCCCTTTTCCTTCTCCCCTTTTTCTATTTCCATTTTCTTCCTTTTTTATTTAAATTTTAGCTTAGTTCATTAATTCTGTTTTTAGGTCGGATGATGAACAGAGCTCTGCGGATAAGGAGAGACTTGCCAGGTAGGAGAACAGTGTTGCTTAGCATGATGAAGCAGATGCTGCTGCTTTTGTATCCTTTTTCTTACTCTATCTTTCCCCCTTTCTCTTTGTATTCTTCCTTATCTATGGCAAGAGAGGACAAGAGTTTTTAGAAGTTTGGGTGTAACAGGAACTTTGGCTTCCTCCCATCAGAAAGTGGGTGAGTTGAGGGAACTTTACTTAGGAATTTAAGAATTTGCTATTTTACCTTTCTTTTTTTTCTTTCTCGGCAAGTTTCACAGAAACAAAAGGATTTAGAAATAATATAGCTGTGTTAGTGCTTTAACAGGAAAATATATTCTATTAGAAAACTAATATAAATATATCTATATTTGCCATTTTTCTCAGAATTTAGGTCTCAGTATTTACACCATACATCTCTAGAATACTCACTTTTATTTTCCTGTGTAGATTCATAGTATAGACTACTATGCCACAATAGAATTAATGTTGCTTTGGTGACTTAGTCCTCATTTGTGATTTCCCAGGAACATATTTAACTGTATTGGCAAGGATAATCAAAAGATCAGGTTTCAGCTGGTTACATGTGGGCCATGCCTATAATCCTAGCTACTCAGGAGGCTGAGAGCTCAGAATTGCAGTTTAAAGCCAGCTTGGGCAGGAGAGTGAGTGATATCCTTATCTCCAGTTAACCAGAAAAAAACCCCAAGTGGAGCTGTAGCTCAAGTGGTAGACTTGAGCACAAAAGATCAGGGATGGATGATGTCCAGATACCACTGTGGTCAAGCCCAGGACTGGACTGGCACGAAACACCCCCCCCAAAAAACAAGTTTCTGTACTTCACTGTCAAAAATCTGCCAGATACTAGGAAGATGAGTACATGAAATTTGAGTAGAATTTTCCATGGTTTCAGCAAAGTAAATATGGACCTCCATGATGAGACTTTGCCATTTGAAAATAAGACTTAAGAATTTCTTTGGAGCCAGGTACCTGTAATCCTAGCCACTCAGGAGGCTGAGATCTGAGGATTGTGGATTGGAGCTTGCCTGGGTAGGAAAGTCTGTAAGACTTTTTATTTAACCACCAAAAAAGCTGGTAGAATGCTAGCTTTGAGCAAAAAAAAAAAAAAAAAAAGAAGCCAGGGACAGAGCCCAGGCCCATTCACTATACCATGGAAGTAGTTCCATCTCCCCAAACAGAATTGCAGTTTAAAGCCAGCTTGGCTTTAAACTTGTCTGATCTGTCTGGTTTATGATGCCTCAGTAGGAAACATATTGTTGGTATAAGCACCTATTTTTTATTACTTGCCTCTCTAATTTATCATATTTCCCATCAAGCTGAGCAACAAACTCAGTTTGATACATTTCAACCTATGCCGCTGCTATTGCTTTTATACTTAAGAAAGGCTTTTCTACATGATGCTGTGAAGAAAGCATTACATTGTGCATGAGAGGAACCTTGGGGAAAGTCACTTAACTACTTGGCCTCAATCTGATCATTACTCATTAAAAGTAAATTTGGATTAGCTTATAGATTAGGAGTTTTTTTTCCTTAAACAACTTTTGTTCAGAAAGCATCATTAGGTGGTAATAGAAGCAAGGTGATAAAGCAAAGGTGTTTAAGTAGAAGCAGAAATGCAGCATGTTGTTTGTTTCTCTCCTTGAGGAATCCTAATGGAGGATACTGAGCAGCCTAGGTTTTTCAGAATTCGTGTTTGAAAACTGAATTATTCCACTTAAAATAGTAATATAAAGCTAGGCACGTGTGGCGCACACCTATCAATTCAGGAGACTGAGACCTGAGGATCACATTTCAAAGTCAGCTTCAGCAAGAAAGTCCATGTGACCTTTCTCTAGTTGACCACCAAAACCAGAAGTGGAGCTGTAACTCAAATGGTAGAATGCTAGCCTTGAGCAAAAAAGGTCAGGGAAAGCACCTATGTCCTAAATTCAAGCCATAGGATCACAATAAACAAAAACAACAACAATAAAAAAGTGGTAGGGGCTGGGAAGGTGGCTCAGTGGTAGAGCGCTTGCCTCCCATGTATGAGGCCGTGGGTTCGATTCTTTAGCACAACATAAAGCAGAAAAAAGCTGGAAGTGGCGCTGTGGCTCAAGTGGTAGGGTGCTAGCCTTGAGCTGAAGAGCTGAGGACCAATGCCCAGACCCAGAGTTCAGCCCCCATGACCGACCCACCTCTCCCCGCCCCCCCCCTCCAAAAATGGTATCCTTCTGTCTCAATTTTGAGCAAGTTATTGTTAGAGAAGTACTCTACTGAACCTGGTAAGATCTAAATTGTATCTCTCCAGGCTTTTAAAGCACCCTCTTTCTCCCTATTCTACCCTTAACTCCAGTTCTCTTTGTTTTAGACTGGCAACCCATACGTTATTTCACAGTCTCTCTTTTTTATTTTTCCAGTCCTGGGGTTTGAACTCTGGGCCTGGGCACTGTCCCTCAGCTCTTTAGCTCAAGGCTAGCGCTACCACTTGAGCCACAGCACCACCTCTGATTTTCTGGTGGTTTATTGGAAATAAGAGTCACAGACTTACCTGCCCAAGCTGGCTTTGAACCATGATCCTCAGATTTCATCCTCCTGAGCAGCTAGGATTATAGGAGTGAGACACTGGCAGTGCCTGGCTACAGTCTTTTAAGAAGTTCAGTGCACTGGCACCACACCCAGTTAAAGCAGATAGGATTTGGTGAATTAGGATAAATAATTTTTTTTAATTTTTAATTTTTTTTTTGCCAGTCCTGGGGCTTGAACTTAAGGCCTGAGCGCTGCCTCTGAGCACTTTTGCTCAAGGCTAGTGCTCTACCTGGGCAGACTTTGAACTGTGATCCTCAGATCTCAGCCTCCTGAGATCTAGGATTACAGGTATAAGCCACCAGCACCTGGAAGATATATAAAACTTAAGACTCTTACATTTCTGTTTTCAATGTCATTAAGAGACAATTATAACAAAGCAACTTTTTTTTCTTCTCTCCCCCCCTTTCCAAAGCAACATTTATAGCCCACAGGAACCTATCTTTTTTTTTTTTGGCTTGGGGCTTAAACTCTGAGCCTGGGCACTGTCCCTCAGCTCTTTAGCTCAAGGCTAGTGCTCTACCACATGAGCCACAGTGCCACCTCTGTCTTTCTGGTGGTTTATTGGAGGTAAGAGTCTCATGGACTTTCTTGGCTGCCTGCGCTGGCTTTGAACTGTGATCCTCATATCTCAGTCTCCTGAGTAGCTAGGATTACAGGTGTGAGCCACCAGCACCTGGCTCCTATAATTTCTTACATCAGCTATTGAGCAACATACTTGAATTGGCAAAAATTGGTCATTTAATTTTCTGGTCTTCAAACAACTTAATTGGTAAACATGGAGTCATTCAAGCTAAGATTCTTTTTCTCCTTAAATGAATTTGGCTGGGAAGTTGGCTCAGTGGTAGAGTGCTTGCCTTGCATGCATGAAGCCCTGGGTTCCATTCCTCAGTACCACATTAAGCAGAAAAAGCCAGAAGTGGTGCTGTGGCTCTAGTGGTAGAGCATTAGCCTTGAGCTGAAAAGCTAAGGGACAGCGTCTAGGTCCAAAGTTCAGGCCCCACAACCAACAAAAAGCAAAAACAAAGAAACTTAAGTAAATGAACTCAACACTTAAAAATACTACCTTTCTTTTTTGTTCTGAGGGAATGATAATTTACATAGGAAGTGAAGTTGCCAGGGAGTGAGGGAATTGAGGTGTCTGCTTGCTCTTTGTCTTTCTACCTTGTTAGTTTCTATTCCATGCCTGCTCTGCATGAGGTTGGCAAACTTTACTTTTAACTTCCGAGACTTAAGCATCATTAAACTAAATACTGCATTCTTCAGCAGCACGCTTGGAATCCATTTCACTGTCCCAGAGACCAAATGATCTTATGTGACCACCTGGATGGATCTTCTCTCTCTTTCCATGTAGGGAAAATCACAGCGAGATTGAACGGCGGCGACGGAATAAGATGACAGCTTACATCACAGAACTGTCAGACATGGTACCCACTTGTAGTGCCTTGGCTCGAAAACCAGACAAGTTAACCATCTTGCGCATGGCAGTTTCTCACATGAAGTCCTTGAGGGGAACTGGAAATACATCCACTGATGGATCCTACAAGCCATCTTTCCTCACTGATCAGGTATCAGACTTAAAACTGTGAGAGAATAGATTCTGGGTGAATCGAGTGAAACTTTTGATTTCTTTGATTTTTTTAATAAGAATTTACTCAGGGAAAATGCAGATCCTGGAAAAATGAATTTCAGTCCTTAACTGAATAAGCATTGGGTAGTAAGAAAAGAGTTATGGAATCTATTTAGCAAATTAATAGGATTTTACAACTTAATTCATAAATACAGCCTGTAAAGGTAGAAAACAGTGACATCCAAGAGAGTAGATAACTCTGTACATGGATCACTTTTCTTCCTTGGCTTTACAAAGGATGGAGGAAATCTGTTTCTAGGGATTTTTGTTGGTAATACTGGAGTTTAAATTCTGGTCTTTGTACTTAGTACGTAGGTATTTTATGCCCAGCAGCACATCCAGCTCTATTTTCTGCTGTCATTAGCAGCAGCTCTGTCATGGGGCTTGAACTCTGGGCCTGTATGTTGTCCCTCAGCTCTTCATCTCAAGGCAAGTGTTCTACCACTTGAGCCACAGTCCCACTTCTGGTTTTCTGAGTGGTTTATTGGAGATAAGAGTCTCATGGAGTTTCCTGCCCTGGCTGGCTTTGAACCTCGATCCTCAGATCTTAGCCTCCTGAGTAGCTAGGATTACAGGTGTGAACCACTGGTACCTGGCTTGGTTATTTTTTTTATTTATTATTTTTTTTGTGGGGACCGGTCGTGGGGCCTGAACTCTGGGCCTGGGTGCTGTCCCTCAGCTCTTCAGCTCAAGGCTAGCACTCTACCACTTGAGCCATAGCACCACTTCCGGCTTTTTTCTTTTTGCTTATGTTGTGCTGAGGAATCAAACCCAGGGTCTCAGGCATGCAAGGCAAGCACTCTACCACTGAGCCACCTTCCCAGCCCCATTGGTTATTTTTTTAAGGGCAGAAAAATGAGATTTATTATATGACAGCTATTGGAAGACAGCATTTCAGTACATCTTCAGCTGTTTTCAGAGGTATAGATATTGGCCTCAGGTTTGATAGAGAGAATTGAGGACAGAAGGTGAGAAAAGTTATACATAGTTAAAACAGTCCTAGGTCACAGTGTGTGGTCTGTTTTGTGATTAGCTCAGTCTTTGTCCTTGGAAGAGTTCCATAGAATTGATCTCTTGAGTTTTGGGCTATTTGCTTTAAGATGATAAGAAGGCATTGCTTTCCACACAACTTGGTTATTACTGAATTTTCTCTGGGAATTTTTCTCTGCCTTTTGGGAAAGATTCTTAAATGTAATAGTTAATTTTCTCTCAGTACATATGCAAATGTTGGTTTAACAAACTAGTTATATACATCTTTTGTGGGCAAGCCAGGTGCTTTGTGCTGTGAGACATATAAAGAAGGTAAACTCTTTAGTGGTAGAAAAGATAAAAAATAATCTAAATTTTAATTAGAATAAATTTTAGGAAGTGGTACTGTAGCTCAAGTGGTAAAGCTTTGAGCAACAGAGCTCAAGGACAGCACCCAGGCTATGAGTTCAAGCCCCTCAGTTGATCCCCCAAAATAATTAATTTTTAGGCAATAAACAACCAGAAAAAAGATTAGTTTCACTTTAAGGATGGATTAGAGAATGCAGAAACAGACCATTTCATTAGTTTTATTATAACTTAGATAGTCACATGGTATTGGGAAATAGAATTGATTATAGTTATCACTGTGGTATGAGGGAGAGTAGTTGAAAATTCTAAGGTTCCTAGCTTTGGAGGATGTGGTTAATCAAGAAAAGGAACGCTGGAAGTGCATAGAATATTGTATTTTTTTCAAATTGATATAATGATTGTGGTTTTGAAATGTTGCTACTCAGCTGTTAGTATAATACTTACATGGAAATGTTTAACAGATACCTAGAAATCATATTTGCTGAAAGAGTCATTAGGAATGTAGATTTCATTATCATTTTATGGTGGGAGGCATAGGTATCACTTCCTGGGAAGAAGGATGGTATGAATAAAGAATTGAACCTAGGAAATACCTATATGAAAGAAATGAACAAAGAAAAAGCAGTTTGGAGCAGAGTTTGAAGCAAAAAACAGTAATAAAGAAAATAAGAGGAAGTGGCACTGTGGCGCAAGCGATACAGCATTCGCTGAAGAGCTGAGGGACAGTGCCCAAGCCCGGAGTTCAAGCCCCACGACCAACCAAAACAAACAAACAAAAAGTATGTTTTAAAAGGGCTGGGAAGGTGGCTCAGTGGTAGAGCACTTGCCTTGCATGCTCGAGGCCCTGGGTTCGATTCCTCAGCACCACATAAGTAAAAAGCTGGAAGTGGCGCTGTGGCTCAAGTGGTAGAGGGCTAGCCTTGAGCTGAAGAGCTGAGCTCAGGACAGCGCCCAGGCCCAGAGTTCAGGCCCCACGAGCAGACCCAAAAGAAAATAAGAAAATAAAAATTTAAGGATAGAATAGACAAGATCAGATTCTGTAGAGATTGAATTAAAAAAAAAAAAAAGGTAAAGAGGGCTGGGAAGGTGGTTCAGTAGTAGAGTGCTTGCCTTGCATGCATGAGGCCCTGGGTTCCATTCCTTAGTACCACATAAGCAGAAAAAGCTGGAAGTGGTGCTGTGACTCAAGTAGTAGAGCACTAGCCTTGAGCTGAAGAGCTGAGGGACAGCACCCAGGCCCAGAGTTCAGGCCCCACAACGGACCAAAAAAAAAAAAAAGATACAGATCTAGGAGAAGGGACTTGAATTGGCAACTAGAAGGACATTTTGAGACTTTGAATTCAAGCCCTGATACCAGCATATATAAGAGTAATCTACTATAGTGGAAGTTGAGACATAAGTGAAAAGCAAGAGAACAGACCCATTATATTTATAGCATTACTCTCAGTATACAATTAGCACTGAATACTCAGAATAAATTGAGGGAAGATTGAAAAAACATTTTTTTTACTGGCTTGAAAGTAAAGAGAGAAAATAGGGTCAGGTGCCAGTGGCTCATGCCTGTAATCCTAGCTACTGAGGGATCTGAGGATCTGAGATCTGAGGATCATGGTTCAAAGCCAGTTGAGGCAGGAAAGTCCAGGAAAATCCATGAGACCCTTATCTCCAATTAATTATGGAAAAAGCTGGAAGTGGTGCTATGGCTCAAGTGGTAGAGTGCTAGCCTTGAGCAAAAGGAGCTTAGGGACAGTATCCAGGCCCAGAGTTCAAGATCTAGGACTGGAGAGAGAGAGAGAGAGAGAGAGAGAATGAGGATATTTGTCAAGAAGATCCTAAAAAGAGGATGAGTTTAAGAAGTCAGTTATTGTTGGTGGGAAATCTTTTTTATTCCTCCTTTGAGTCTTGAGATGGATAGGAGGAAGAGGTGGATAGTGACAGAAAAATTGTGGACATAATGAAAATCATTATATTTAAGGTAGAAAATGCTGGCTGTGGATTGATCAGATATGAGCCAGGAGTTGTTTAAAATGAAATATATATGTCCTGAAGCAGATCTTGTTTAATAGAAATAATTATTTTTCAGAGTTCATTATTGACTTTCATTTCTTTTCCTTGACCAGGAACTGAAACATCTGATCTTGGAGGCAGCAGATGGCTTTCTGTTTATTGTCTCATGTGAGACAGGTCAGGTAGTGTATGTCTCTGATTCAGTGACTCCTGTTTTGAACCAGCCACAATCTGAATGGTTTGGCAGCACACTGTATGATCAGGTGCATCCAGATGATGTAGATAAACTCCGCGAGCAGCTTTCCACTTCAGAAAATGCCCTGACAGGTGAGAGCTATGTGGATGACAAATAAATGGGAAGTTCTTTTTTTTTTTTTAATGTATTAGAGGATTTAAATTCTTTTTTTTCTTTTTTTGCCAGTCATGGGGCTTGAACTCAGGGCCTGGGCACTGTCCCTGAGCTTCATTTGCATAAGGCTAGCACTCTACCACTTGAGCCACAACACCACTTCCAGCGTTTTCTGTGTATGTGGTACTGAGGAATCAAACCCAGGGCTTCATGCATGCTAGGCAAGCACTCTACCACTAGGCTACCTTCCTAGCCCAGGATTTAAATTCTTAAATTGGTTTGTTAGATCTGTCAAAGCTTTAGAATATAATCAATACTTTTTTTTTTTACATTTTTTATTATTATATCTTTAAGTAGTTGTACAAGGAAGTTCCCATTCTATAAAACAGTATATGAGTACAAAGTGTCTGACAACGTTGTCACCCATCTCTCTTAACCCATCCCTTCTCTCACTTTTTTTCTTTAATTGAGATTAGGTGATTACATAAATTTCACATATTTCACAGTATTGTGGAATAGTGATACTTATTAAAGTCACAAACACATTTTAACCTTCACAAGGCAAATGGTCATTATCATGGTCCATAAAGTTTGTGAATTCTATGAGCTTTGACAATACAAATTATTTCTTCCATATCAGGTGATGATTACATTTCTTTCCTTTTGCTTAGTGTAGGCTGTTCCCTCTTTCCTTCTTATTCCTCCCTTCCCATCGCTAGCTTTGGGCTGCTTAGTTCTTTTTCTTCTATGTCCAGTGCAGCTGATGGGCCCCTTTGTTATATGTTGTTCCATTTCCCACTTATTCTGTTCTTCCTCCTTCAGATTAGCTACTCTATGACTCATTCTTTTTTTTTGTTAGTTATGGGACTTGAACTCTGGGCACTGTCCCCAAGTTCTTCAGCTCAAGGCGAGCACTCTACCACTTGAGCCAAGCATCACTTCCAGTTTCTGGTGGTTGATTGGAGCTAAAAGTCTCATAGACTTTCCTGCCCAGCTGGCTTTGAACTGTGATTCTCAGATCTCAGCCTCATGAGTAGCTAGGATTACAGGCGTGAGCCGCTGGTGCCCGGCTTCTATGGCTCATTCTTATAAAAAGGTTTCATTAGTGATTATGCTCATATAAAACTTACGTTTATCTTAATGTTATAATAAAATCATTAAATTGAAATTCATTGTGAGATTTACAATTATGATTTAGCATAGCAATGTTCAAGTGCTGAGGCTTTTATTTCTGTCAGAGGAATTAACATCTAAAATCCATCCAAGTTTATCCTTTGTTTTGGGCAGCAACACACACACACACACACACACGCACACGCACGCGCACACACATACACACTTGTTTGTGGGGTTTTTTTTGGGGGGGTCCGGTCATGGGGCCTGAACTCTGGGCCTGGGCGCTGTCCCTCAGCTCTTCAGCTCAAGGCTAGCGCTCTACCACTTGAGCCACAGTGCCACTTCCGGCTTTTTTCTTATGTGGTGCTGAGGAATCGAACCCAGGGCCTCGAGCATGTGAGGCAAGTACTCTACCACTGAGCCACCTTCCCAGCCCCTGTTTGTGGGGTTTGAACTCTGGGCCTGGGCACTGCCCTCAGCTCTTCAGCTCAAGGGGAGAACTCTACCCCTTGAACCATTGTGCCACTTCGTGTTTTCTGGTGGTTAATTGGAGATCAGAGTCTCACAGATTTTTCTGCCTGGACCAGCTTTGAAATGTGATCCTCAGATATCTGCTTCCTGAGTAGCTAGGATTATAGGCGTGAGCCACTGGTGTCCGGCTCACTATTTTTTTTTTCTTTTTCCTTTTTTTTTTTTTGAATTCAGGTCAGGACATTGTCACTTAGCTTTTGCATAAAGTTGGCACTCTATTACTTGAGACATAGTTCGTCTGTCTTTTTGGTGGTTTATTGGGATAAATTGAGTTTCATGGACTGATCATTCCTGATTTCTTTTGTGCTTGTATGCATTTCATTTTTTACAGTTCTTCCTTTTCCTCAAAAGGTACCCTTGCTTTCTATAAATAAAAGAGAGAAATAATTTTGATTTCAGACAGATGTATATTCTGTAGCATATAAAATTAATGTAGTATTAACTGTGTATTTGTCTTTATGTAAAAACAATCAGGAGCTTGGAACTGGTGGCTCCCTACTATAATACTAGATACTTTAGGAGGCTGAGACCTAGAAGATAATGGTTGAAAGCCAGCTTGAGACTCCATCTCCAAGTAACTAGCCAAAAAATCAGGGTTATGGTTCAAGTAGTAGACCACCAGTTGTGAGTGGAAAATCAGATGAGTGGAGTATGAGGCCCTGGAGTTCAAGCCCTAGTACCAGCAAAACCCCAAAACAACAAAAACAAAATGAATCAGAGCTAAGAATGTATTCTTGCCTCTTTAGCTTCCTTTATACAAGGTTTTTTCAGTGTTGTGTTTGAATTTACAGTGAAATTCATAGATGAGAGTAGAAATAGTTTGTTTCAAAAAATCATCTCCTGGCGTGGCCTATTCTGCTATATGCGAGGAAGTTGGAGGGCATTGGTAGGATGCTCACTTACCTTGGCCTCCAGTATTTCTCCTTTTGTTCCCTATTCATGAGAATGTACTCCAGATTGTTCTTCCCATCTTTCTTTAGGGCGTATCCTGGATCTGAAGACTGGAACAGTGAAAAAGGAAGGTCAACAGTCTTCCATGAGGATGTGTATGGGCTCAAGAAGATCATTTATTTGTCGAATGAGGTGAATGAGAGGATTGGATTGTGAATTGGGGGAGCAGAGGGGAGGGGAAGAAGGGAGAGAGGCAGAAAGGATTGGGCATTTAGGGGTTTTTGATGGGTTGAATGCTATTTTTGTTTTTTGGGGGATAGTGTATTCCTATAATACTCAGGCTGGCCTTAAATTCACTATGTAGCCCAGGCTGGCCTCAAACTTGGAATCTTTCTTTCTCAGCTTTGTATATATGCATGTGTACCCATGTATATGTACTGGGACTTGAACTCAGGATCTTTGTGTTCTTCCTTAGCTTTTTCACTTAAGGCTACCACTTGAGCCATACCCCTCCTTTGGGCTCTTTTTGGTAGTGAATTGGAAATAAGAGTCTCATGGATTTGCTGTCCCAGCTAGCTTCAGACTGTAGTACTCAGAACTCAGCCTCCTGAGTAGTTAGGATTACAGGTGTAAGCCCAGCTTTGCCTCAGCCTCTTGAATTCTGGGATTACATTTGGGCGTCACCACATTTGGCTTAAGAAAATGCATTTTTGGGCTGGGAAGGTAGCTCAGTGGTAGAGTGCTTGCCTTGCTTGCCTTGCATGCTCGAGGCCCTGGGTTCGATTCCTCAGCACCACATAAGCAAAACGAAAAAAGCCGGAAGTGGCGCTGTGGCTCAAGTGGTAGAACGTTAGCCTTGAGCTGAAGAGCTGAGGCCCAGAGTTCAGGCC